ATGATTTTACATCAACCTGCTGAAGATGGAAATTAGCCACGTTGGCTATAATCTTTGCATATTTACATGTTTAATGTTCATTAATATGTACTGTCCCTTTACCAATAAATAAAATAAGAAATAAGAATCCATCATCACCGTGAGATAATCTGATTATTCCATCACCATGGAGATGACATTCTACAAGTCACGTAATAAGGGGCACAGCCAACACTTTTGTCTCACAACTTCTCAGGACTCTGGTGAAGACGCACACAAACATGGACAGATCCAACACTTTCTCCTCCAAACCCTGGCACCTCTACACACTAGAGGATGACGCCCACCTCTACGATGAAGACTTCGACCTGGAGGCTCTGCTCTGCCCCACACCATCAGGCGGCGTGCAGAAGCCAGCGGAGACCCAGGTGTCGCCCAACATCCAGGACTCCTCAAACCCTGAGGACAGAAGTCTGGTCCAGGAACCTCCACCCCTGGAGGACAGCGCTCTGGTCAGAGAGCTGCGTAGAGAGTTGGAGCGGACAAGGGCCCAGCTTGAAGATCAGGTCCAAAAGAACTTTGTTTTGGATTTCAAGTTTAAGGCTGAGGGGAAGATGGCCAAAGAAAAGGCCTTGGAGCTCACTAATGCTCTTCAGGAGAAAGACCAGCAACTCCAAGAAGAGGTTAGAGCACATAAGCAGCTCCACGACCTGTATGAATATAAAGTACGGGAAAATGCGCAGTTAAAACACCAGCTGGACAACTCAAGTGAAGTCAAGGGAAAGGTCAATGAAAAAGAGTTGGAGTTGCAAAAAGTTACTGCTACTCTCCAGAAGAAAGAAAAGGAACTACAAGACCTGGAGAACATACATAAGAAGATCCGTGTCCTGTATAATAATAAAGTACAGGAGCACGTGCAACTCAGGCAAGAGTTTGCCCACTTCAAAAAAGTCCCAGAAAAAACAAACAAAAAAGAATTGGAGTTGGAAGAGCTAAAAGCAACCTCCTGACAAAAGAAAAAGAGCTGGAAAACGAGGTCAGTGCGTATAAAGAACTAAGATGTCTCTATAACAAGTCGGCGGCAGACAAAGTAGAGCTCAGACAGGAGCTGGCCAACATCAGAAAGGTCAATGAGAATTTGAAAGAAAAACTTGGAGAACTTCCATTAGAGAGCCACAGCGCTTGTTATGATGTTGGTGGAGATCAAATCAGCAAGGAAAATGAAAACCTGTCCAGGAGGGTGCAGGAGCTGACTGCTCAACTCTTCTCAACACAAGAGGAGCTGCGTCTCCTGAAGCTAAATCGTGATCGTGAAAGATCCAGCCACCCAAAAGTCATAGTGGAGCAGCAGTGGAGGAGGCCGAGGCGTCAACAGCGCTAAAGCTCCTCCAAACATGACTTTACATGCATTAATAAAAATAATGACAAAACATATTTGAAATGTGTGCTTTGGCCTTTATTTAGTACTTATTGGTGTTTTATTGTTGCTGTTTTTTTTCACATTGTTTAATTCACATGCCAGATACTTGGCATACTGCGGTAGCTCGTTTTTGATGCAGAAATGGGTAAAGTGAATGTACAAAAAATGATATAATACATGATAAAAGAAATCAAAAGAGTAAAATGGGAATGTGAATGTTCACTTTTCCCCTCTAAACTATGATTTACTGCCTGTTGGAATCAAATGTAATGAGAAAGAGAAAGATACAGCTGAACAATAGCTTAAACATACTAAAATTGCAAATAATAAATAACGAGGAAAATAAATACAAAGTTCTCCATATGAAAAGAAATGAAATTTTTTGATGCGTAGATGTGAAAATAGTAGATTTTATTCACAATTTTCTCCTATAACCCAGTTTGGTCTTAGTATAAGTTTTAATTTTGCTCAACTTATTGAGTGGAAATGTAAATATTGCAGTGATATAGTTAGCGATACAACATGTAGTTATCAAATATCTTTATCTCATATCATGCGGCTCTTATTAAATGTATCAGACTACATACTGCATTCATTTTTACTCAGTGTGAGGTGAATGATAGTTTGGTGGTCACAATTTGGTGGACAAAATTGTTGGTACCCCTCTGGCAATGAAACAAAAATCAACCATGGTCACTGAACTAACTTGTTTGATGAAACTGAATGTGCTGTGGCCTACAGGTCCGGGTGGGCTGCTCCGGTCCTCCGCGCTCAAGAACCGCGGCTGGTTCCGAGGTGATGCAGCATCCGGACAGAAGCGTGAATCCAGTTTGGTTGGTTATATGTTGTTCTGAGCGTCCATCCTCCGCACATTTGGTTCTTCCCGGAGAAAGCGCTTCTCAGGCCGAAGCTCCTAACACCGCTCCCCGCTCCACGTCATCTGAGCCCGGCCTGACCCGGAGCTGCTCCCGCTGGTTCAGGACTCTGGTTTGGATTTAGTCCGGCTGTATTTCTCACACTAGGCTAAAAGCAGGGCATTTTTAAGGTTGTATCTATTGACCTTGTCACTCGACTAAATAGGTGAAAATAAATTCCGCCGTTTAATTGAACCCCAACAGTGACGTACGTCGTTCATCTCACATAATCTGAACAAATTCACGTTCAAGTTCTTGATTTACAAATGTGTCAAGTTCAAAGTTCACTGAAAAATGAACGTGCACAATACTGAGTACTGATTAGTCTCTCTTGTAGTAGTGACTTAAAAGAAACCAAAAAATACTATTATTCAAGTGTTCTTTATTTTACAAATAAATACCTTCATTCTCACACTTAAAAAAAGTGAGTAAAACAGTTTTTCTTCACTTAAATGTCGCTTGACCGTCACATTGTGTTGCTGTGGTCTTACCTCGAGGTGCTAACTAAATTAAAAGTTAGTACTGTGTTTGAGAAAAGCCTGGATATTAGTGAAAGCATTGGCCGGATCACCGCAGGATTGTGCGCAGAAACAGTGAAGGTGGCTGTGCAGTAAATTAAGAGGCGCTCGGATAAAACAGACCCGCACAGATGTCCAGGGCTCATTTACAAACGGAGCGGCGCTGTGAGGAGGCGTCAGGACAACAGTTTTCTCACTAATATTGGTGCTGCTGCCCCGGCCCAGCTTGGCTCAGCCCGGCCCCCACAGAGTCCACAGAAGAGGGGGAACAGAGAGAGAGAGAGGGGAGGGAGAAGAGGGGGAAGAGAGAGAAGAGAGGGAGGTAGACAGGTGAATGAGAAGAGGGATGAGAGGGATAAGAGAGGAGAGGGGAAGGGAGGGGTGAGAGATGAGAGAGTGACGAGAGAGGAGAGGGGTGAGAGAAAGGGGAAGGGAGAGATGAGAGAGGACGAGAGGAACAGAAGCGAGTGAGGAGAGAGGGATGGAGGGAGACTAGGACAGAGGAGAAAAGAGGAAGTGGGAGAGGGATATGAGAGAAGAGAGCTGAAGAGGAGAGGAGACGGGAGCGGTGAGAGAAGAAAGGGTTAAGAGAAAAGGATGGGAGGGCAGAGGAGAGGTGGGTGAGAGAGGGGAAGGGAGAAGAGAGAGGTGAAAGTGAAGCGAGGGGGTGAGAGAGGAGAGAGGGACAGAGGTGAGGGGAGGGTGGAAGACAGTGGGACAGAGAAGAGAAGAGAGAGAGCGAGGGAGATGGGATGGGAGAGGGGAAAGGAGAGAGGAGGGAGAGAGGACAGAGGGGGGAAGGGAGAAAGAAGAGAAGGGAGGGATGAAGGGGCGGAGGAGAGGTGGGTGAGATCGGGAAGGAGGGGTGAGAGAGAGGAGAGGGTGCAGGGAGAGGAGGAGGGGTGAAAGAGATGGGGTAAGAGAGGAGAGGGGGACAGAGGAGAGAGAGGGGAGGGAGAGAGGGAGGAGAGAGAGAAGGAGACAGGAGAGGAGAGGAGGAGGGGAAGAGGAGAGGGGAGAGGAGAGAGAGAGTGGGGCAGGGAAAGAGGAGGGGTGAGAGAGAAGAGAGGGGAAGAGGAGAGAAGAAAGGAGGGGTGAGAGAGAGGGGAGAGAGCGAGAGAAGGAGGGGGGAGGAGAGGAACAGGAGGAGAGGGGGAGGGAGGGGTGAGAGAGGAGAGGGGTAAGAGAGAGGGATGGGGCAGATGAGAAGTGGGTGAGAGAGGGAAAGGGAAAGAAGGGTGAGAGGAGAGAGGAGAGGGGGTGAGAGAGGGGAAAGAGGGATGAGAGAGATGGAGAGAGGAGAGGAGGAGGGGAAGAGAGAGAAGGGTGAGAGAGGAGAGGGAAGAGGAGGGATGAGAGAGAGGGAGGAAGAGAGAGGGGAAGGGGGTGTGAGAGAGATGGAGAGAGGAGAGGAGGAGGGCTGAAAGAGGAAGAGAGAGAAGGGGAAAGAGGGGTGAGAGAGGAAGAGAGAGGGGAAAGAGGGGTGAGAAAGGAAGAGAAAGGAGAGGAGGAGGGGTGAGAGAGGAGAGAGAGGGGAAGGAGGGGTGAGAGAAATGGAGAGAACAGAGGAGGAGGGGGAAGGAGGAGTGAGACAGAGGGAGAGGGAGGGAAAAGAGGGGTGATAGAGAAAGAGAAAGGAGAGGAGGAGGGGTGAGAGAGAAGGAGAGGTGGATGAAGAGAAGGGGAAGGAGGGGTGAGAGAGATGGAGAAAGGAGAGGAGGAGGGGTGAGAGAGAGGGAGAGGTGGATGAGAGAGAGGGGAAGGAGGGGTGAGAGAGGAAGAGGCAGGAGGAGGCAGTGGGGTGGTTGGGAGGGCAGATGACAGTTTTCCCAGCTTCAGTCCGGGGAGTCAGGAGTTTTCGCTGACTGGTGCGGCGAGCGCGGCCAGCTCTTCTGTCAGCACTTTCCTCTCCTTCATCTTCACGCGCACGGCCTCCATTAGCAGAGCGGCAGAGGGGATCTGCACACGGCCGAGGGGAGGGACCGGGGAAAAACAGAAAAGAAACACAGTTAGAAAAGTCAGGGTTTAGGCGGACGGTAAAGACACACACAGGACCGGGCGAGCTGATGATGAAAATAGATAAGATAAGACGTTCAGCTCCTACGCACGAATCTGGGATGAACGCTGAAAGTGACGGGAAAACCTGGAACGTCATCACGACTGTTTTGAATCAGAAAAGGGCAGGTAAGAGCTCGGATTAAGTTCACGCTTACGTCACAAACCAGGAAGACGTTTGGAAACTTGTGACGAAAACTTTCGGTGGGCTCTGTTCAAGGTAGTAAGTCTGACAAATCTAGGAATAATGAAAAAAAAATTGCCTAGTTTTTTTCATCTACATGTCATTGTAGCGTTCCGTTATGTTCGGCTAATCAACAATCAACAATTTTCATTATTTCCGCACTGTCACATAACTGGGTACATGCGATTAGACGAGATGAGGCACCAAATTCAGGATGATTCCAAACACGTATGCAGTCTTCATTTTACTGCTGATCACATTTACTTCAGTGGGTTTTATCACAGTCGGTCGGCGAGCCCAGAGCCCGCACTAATCGAGACCAAGACCAGTCCGAGACCATAGGGTCCCGAGACCAGGACAAGACCAAGACCTCTGAGAGTCAAGACCAAGACCATCTATGTCATTTCCTACATTTATTTGTATTTTGGCACATATATATCAATGTTTTTTTTATAAATCTATTTCCATTTGATCTGGTTAATGTTCATTTAGGCTTAAATAGGCCGAGCAAACTGCATTTAAACGCCCCTTTTTTGGACCCTCACCCACAGTTGGTGAAGCCCTTCTTTAAACCTGCTTCTATTGGCACTTTACAGAAAACAACTTCAGTGAATCAAGTGGGTTTTTTCAAGTTCATAACATTTAACATTTACAATTATCTCACTGGTTACTGGTTGGATACTGAACAGCCTCTGCACATTTACCGGCCGTGATGAAATACGATTGTACTCGTCAAGTGTCAGACCTCGAGTCCGAGACAAGACCGAGTCCAAATGTGCTGGAGTCTGAGACAAGACCGAGTCCGAGCGCCATCAAGACCGAGACAAGACCGAGACCAAGCTCCATCAAGACCGAGACAAGACTGAGACCAAGCGCCATAGAGTCCGAGACAAGACAGAGTCCAAGCACCATTGAGACCGAGACAAGACCGAGTCCAAGCACCATCGAGACCGAGACAAGACAGAGTCCAAGCACCTTTGAGACCGAGACAAGACCGAGTCCAAGCGCCATCAAGACCGAGACAAGACCGAGACCACGCTCCATCAAGACCGAGACAAGACCGAGACCAAGCTCCATCAAGACTGAGACAAGACCGAGTCCAAGCGCCATCAAGACCGAGACAAGACTGAGACCAAGCGCCATAGAGTCCGAGACAAGACAGAGTCCAAGCACCATTGAGACCGAGACAAGACCGAGTCCAAGCACCATCGAGACCGAGTCCAAGCACCATCGAGACCGAGACAAGACCGAGACCAAGCTCCATCAAGACTGAGACAAGACCGAGTCCAAGCGCCATCAAGACCGAGACAAGACCGAGTCCAAGCGCCATCAAGACCGAGACAAGACCGAGACCAAGCTCCATCAAGACCGAGACAAGACTGAGACCAAGCGCCATCGAGTCCGAGACAAGACAGAGTCCAAGCTCCATCAAGACAGAGACAAGACCGAGTCCAAGCTCCATCAAGACAGAGACAAGACCGAGTCCAAGCTCCATCAAGACAGAGACAAGACCGAGTCCAAGCTCCATCAAGACAGAGACAAGACCGAGTCCAAATGTGCTCGAGTCCGAGACGAGACCAAAACCCTAAAAAAGAGCGAGTAATATGACACTAACAACTACACTGGAAGTTGTCATCATGTTTCCAAATGTCTTCCTAGTTTGTGACGTTTGTGATGTATGAATAGAGCCTATAGTGTTGCCTTTCCACAGATCTGACCTGTAGTTGTCTCTCGGACCCTCCACCAGAAAAGTTTCGCAGCGCACCTTTAAAGGGCCTGTCTGCGGAGTTCATAAAACACCGTCCGAGCACCGCCGTGATCAGCTGTTTCTCTATACCTTTCTATACGTCGTCTTAAAGCCTCATTCTCAATCAGAGACACCGGATTAAGAACAAGAGCTCATGAAACACGAGTCGACAGCGCCCCTAAGCTCCAGCTGATCACTTTAAGTCAAGCCTCCAGGCATAATTAAAAACGGTGTGGACATCACCGGGGACCTGCGCTGGACTCCAGTGGACCCCGTGTTTGGTGGGAACCCAAATGACGTCCTTGGGGGAATCAGAGACAATTATAAGGGTTGAACGCGGGGCTCAAATGTGTACATCGCTTTAGGAAGGTGAGAATGTAAAGGGAGCAGGTCATTATGGCTAATTTAGGTTTTCCTCTAAGTCGACACAAGGTTTTTACAGTCATTAAAGAGGCATGATCAAAGGCAGACAGCACTTAAACCAGAAATATGAACTTGAATACACGGTATGTCATGTTAAAAGTAAAAAATGTGTGTAAAAAAGACAAAATGAATGAGTATTTGAACTGAAAATCTAAATTTAAACTAAAAGATGACAGATTTTGGAAGAAAAAAACAAAAAAAAAAGGCTTGGGATTTGTTTAAATAATTTGAGTTCTTCACATGTTTGATCAGTGGTTAGTAAATTCTTCCAGTTCATATTTTTATTTATTCATGAGGCAACTTTTTCCTTCAAACATAAACATAACATAATAAGCGCTGGTTCTTGTTTCTCCGCACTCGGTAGCCACAGCTGCCCTGGAGCAGACGGATGACAACAACGCTGTGTTTATACGCCATCAGCCCCTCTGAACACCACCAGTCACTCACACACATGCACTTTCATACTAGGCAAGGTGGGTGAAGTGTCTTGCTTAAGGACACAATGAAACAACAGAGACAGTGGGAGCAGATCCTGTGACGTTCAGGTTGAGGAACGACTGCTGTGACCACTGAGCCCCTGTCACTCCACTCACATGGCTCGTTTTTAAAGAGCCATTAAACACCCTCCTGAAGCAAAATCTAACAAATCCTCCAGAGTGGGCGCTCCATGACAGGTTGGAGGGAGCGGGTGTGTGGGGGCGGGCTCTGGAGCGATTGACAGCGGTTGGTTTGTGGCTGTCGGTCGGTTGATTGACAGCCGACCGACAGCCACGACAATCCAACACGGAGCGGACCGGTGCGATCCAGACTTTGAAACAGAGCGGACATTTGTGCTCGGATCAGGCCGTTTCCCCTTTTCTCCTGACAAAGTGTAATATCGCAATGACCGGCGGTGCCAGGTCCGGGCGGGAAGGCTGAGAGGGGCTCCTTACGTTACGCCTGTAGACGCGAGTGGCTGCGCTCGTCACGTAATCACCTGCGTCTGACTCATTGCCGACCGTGAGTCCAACCCGAAAAATTCAAATGTCCTGGCCGTAGTTGATCCTAAAGAGGCGTTACAGACATGGATTTGAAGTCAGATTTTTTACAAAGTTGCACTAAAATGCCAAAATAAGGCCATGGATAGGGATACACTTCGATTTTAGACCCATTTACACAGATAATCAGTTAAAAAAAAAGTGATTCTGGTGTTTAGTTGCTGTGGTGGACACCTCTGCTACCACTCCACAGTGTCAGTATTATTTAATTTTCATTATTGTTTACATTAAGTTAATTACATTACACATAATTTAATTCCTTTATTTAGACTTATATTCTAATTTGAGCACCGGACAGAGGACCCTGGGAGAGACCATTAGGACTCAGCAAAGGGGGTGAGCACTATTTAGTTTGTTTTACTAAGTTAGTTTGCTTTAAGGTCACTTTATTATCACTTATTATTTTCTGTGTTATAATTATTTGCCTTTTTGTTACTTTGATTAAGGTTTATTGGTTTAGTTAATTCATTAGTGTAATTCCTCCCTCTTGTGTAGTTTTAGTTGGTCCTCAAGTATTTAAACACTGCTGTTCCTTTGTCCGGTTGGGTTAGTTTTGTTCTGTTCAGTTTGATTTTGAGTTACCCCAGTTGGGCCCAGCTTTTTTTTGGTTTTGTTAATAATTCGCCTAATTTGAGCCTTTGTTAAATTATATCTTTTTTGACTTTATTAAATTTAAACTTATTTTTATACCTTGTCTTTGCCTTTCTGTTTGGTCCACTACAGTTGCACCTTTAAAAGTGTGCCATACATGTTTGGAGTCTCTCATTCAATATTTGTTTACTACTTTTTACATTTGATATACATACAGAAGACATCAAATACATCTTCTATTTATTTATTCGATTTTATTCATTTTTAAAAATAATTTTTAACTTTCTGCATTTTAACACTTTTTATTTATTGGTTTTATTTATGATTTACTGTCTTTTATTGCATTAATTTGTCTCTGCAACACTTGGAAATTGTCATGTTTATAAAATGTGCGATAGAAATAAAGTGGATTGAACTGAAATATATGAAGCAAGAAATATGGAATCATGTAGCAAAGAAAAAAAAGTTAAATAAGTAAGTACTAATTATATATTTATTTAATATTGTATAACCAAATCCTCAAATTATTCAACTTTTTGATAAGTCGAAAAACATTTAGAAGAGTTATTTAACTTTTTTGTTTACTAAATAATTCCATATATCTTGCTCCATATAAAATGTAGAAAGTAGTAAGAAAAAAACAAAACAAAACACTGAACGAGATGGTGTGTCCAAACTTTTAAAGTGTATGTACTGGCCAAATTCTTACCTTTTTGTACCCACGTCTTTGCAACAATAAGGCCATGGTACCTTTCTGCTCTTCATTAAAATTAAAACACAAACCTTACGCACACTGCAAACTCCGGCTGCTTCAAACACGCAGCCCCCGTCCCTCCGAGAGTCTCCGCGCTGAAGGAACTGCTGAGACATGTCCCCCTGGTGGCTCCTTTGGGAACGGTCGGTCTCCCACACTCTCCCCGGC